GCGGGAAGGAGGCAGGGAGCGAGAGGAGCGCTGGGCAGCAGCATGGAGCCCACTGCCGACAGGCTGGCCACCGCCGCCGCCCGGGGCCGGGAGGACGAGGTGCGGGCGCTGCTCGAGGCGGGGGCGCCGCCCAACGCTCCGAACCGTCACGGTCGGAGCCCGATCCAGGTGGGTCCTCCGATCTGCCGCGTAGGAGGGGGTGGCGGGCGGCCTTGGGACACGAGGTCTGCAAGGCAGTCTGATCAAGGTGAGCACGTCGATTTTCGGTGAAGGGAGACCTCCCGAGGAGTTCTTCTGTGGAGTTTGGAGCCGGAGACCTCGTGGTGAGGCCCTGGGCGCTCAGGAAGCCAAGGGAGGAATGAGGGGGCTTTTGGGGTGCAGATCTCCAGAATGGTATGAAGATCTAGAGGGGAGAGCCTACTTGTGTTAATGTAGACCGAGGTATGTCATCAAACTCAAAATTACGAACGTTTCAGGTAAAACACAGGATTTTAAGAAAATGTGAGATTTCCTGGGTCAACCAACTTAGCCCTGAGCTCACAGACCCTTGAGTGGTGTGGATCATCTTTCTCGCTGTGGATGTTGGAGGAAATATCAATTGAAATTGTTAAGAAGCAACTACATCTTGTGCTTATTTTTATTTTAACTGAGTAAGGAAAACATGTTTGTCGTAAAAATTTGAGAAATATAGACAGAAAAACATTAATGTGACCTTGCCTGACATTGTGTCAATTTGGTTACCATTTTGGGGCTATCAGCTATTATCTTTGTTATTGTTTAACTTCCTTGATATAGATGAACTTATTTTGGAGAGAGTTTTCAATTCCTCATTGTTGAAAATGTCATTTCTTCCCTCCCCACTCAAGTTTTGTGTATGTGTGGTGGGTGGGTGGGGGGGTCGTGCCAGGTTTTGTTTGATGTTGTTGTTTCCTTCACTAACTTACTAAATCTCAAGCTAAAAACGTTCTTCCTGGCAGTCGCTACCCTGGTTTTATTCCCATTGTCGACTGTGATTTCTTTTCTGAAAAAATAACATTTATATGCAACGAATGCACATTGCAAAAACTCCAGTATAACAAGACAAAAGAAAGTAACCCTGCTTGGAACTTCACAAATGTCACAACTGAATCTTCCTTTACTGAAACTGTGCTACACAGGATAAATCTATACACTTTTTAATACAGATACAAAATAGAACAAAAATGCCTTACAACTTGAGATTATTTGGGATTTTAAAAGTGTGGAGAGATTTTTGAGACTAGTGAGCTTGAGTGATTTTAGAAAACAAGCATGAGTCCTTTAAAAATAATGCATGTATGATTCATAATTTGATATGTCCGAAATTTTGTCAACAGCTTGGAGACTGGGAATTGAGCCATGGAATTCTAGAATATTTTCAAAGACACTTTATTTGTTTAAATACAAAAAGGGAAGTTAATTGGTTTCAACAATTTTAGTTTAAAATTTTTTAAACAGGGAGAATAAGGACATAGAACAAAGGTGGCATGATTTTTGTTTGTAAGCCTAACTGAAAAATTTTGAACTTACTAAATTAAATTTAATGTCTTATCAAATGAATTTAAGCACTCAACAATTATTCACCTAATTGATTCATTTTCTTTTTTGTTTTGGATTGCTATTATAATTTGTATATTTAAAGGTTAGGCTGCTTTTCAGTCATTAATTCTGTAAAATATAATAAAATATAGTCACTATCATCCAGCTAATATAACCAAATAACCATAAAGAAAGTATTACCCTAAAATAAAGTGTCTACCATCACCACATACCAGGCAACACTCAAATTGTAATATTGCTGTGATTGCTGACACTATGTAAAATTTTCTCTTTGGTAATGACTGTTTCAAAGATGATTTAGGAACCAAATGAGGTGAGCACACCCTGTTTAATGAACTCCTGCAGTGTAAGCTTGGGAAATGTCAGTTTCCTATTTCTGCTGTAACAAATTATTGCAAATTTATTGCCTTAAACCAACATAAATTTACTATCATACAGTTCTGGAGATCAGAAGTCTAGACTTGGTCCCCAGGGCGGCATTCCTTTTGGAAGTTCTAACAGAGAGTCTGTTTCTCTGCCTTTTCCATTCCTTGGCTAATGGCCTCTGCATCTTGTGACTTACGCTGCCGCTTGGATCTTCTGTCTGATTGTGACCTTCTTACAGGGAAAGTTGTGATTACATTGAGCCCACCCTGACAATCCAGGTTAATTTCCCTCAAAATCCTTACTTTAATCACATCTGCAAAATCCTTTTTTCCATGTATGGTAACATAGTCACAACTTTCTAGTGTTAGGAAGTGGACATCTTTGGGGTCATTATTTAGCTTACCATAGGAAGGAAATTCAGGGCAGGTTAGACAAATCTTCCCATTTTATACTTAAAGAAGTTGAAGTCTAACAATTTAGGAAGTTAAGGGCAAAGTCTAACACTCCAGGAAGTTAAGGGTAGTTTGAGAGTTTTGCAAAAATTAAGGTTTCTTCTTTCTTCTCTCTCTCTCCCTCCCATCCCCCCACACCACCACCACCACCACACGCACACCTTCTCTCTCTCTCTCTCTCTAAGGGTAGTTTGAGAGTTTTGCAAAAATTAAGGTTTCTTCTTTCTTCTCTCTCTCTCCCTCCCATCCCCCCACACCACCACCACCACCACACGCACACCTTCTCTCTCTCTCTCTCTCTCTCTCTCTTTCTTTCTTTTTTTTTTATTTTCACTTTTTAACAATTACCCACATTCTGGGCTTGGATATACAGCAGTGAACCATACAAAATCTCTGGGCCTTGCATAATTCCATATCAAAATGTAGGGCTGGGAGGGAGGGAATGTGTAGTAAAAGTGAGTTTGTCCCTCGCTTTTTGCTGTTGTCTGTGCCTCTGACAGCGTTCCTGTGTGTGGCCGAAACGCCCCAAAACGCTGGAGAATATAATGGGATTCAATGTGTACAGAAAAAATAGAATGGGTAGGAAGGAGAAGAGGCTAAGGAATTTGGTAACTGAAAGCAAATAAAGGCTAACTAGATAGCTGTGAGTTGTACACATCTCCACGGAGTGGGGATGCTTCGCAACAATTTCTTTAATCGTGGCCCTGCCGCCTCCCCTCTCCCTGACCACTCTGCTCCCTCCCGCAGGTCATGATGATGGGCAGCGCCCGCGTGGCCGAGCTGCTGCTGCTCCATGGCGCGGACCCCAACTGCACCGACCCCACCACCCTCACCCGACCCGTGCACGACGCCGCCCGGGAGGGCTTCCTGGACACGGTGGTGGCGCTGCACCGAGCCGGGGCGCAGCTGGACGTGCGCGACGCCTGGGGCCGCCTGCCCGCGGACCTGGCTGAGGAGCGGGGCCACCGCGACGTCGCCCTGTACCTGCGCGCTGCCGCAGGGGGCATCGAAGGTGGTAGCCACCTCGGCACAGACGCCGCGGAGGGTCCCGCAGGTGAGGTGGGGGATCTCAAACTTTGAACTCAACTTTCGCAGCCCAGAGCGCTCCTTTTTCAGAAGAGAAAATTGACCCAGGGTCTTGAGTCTGGCCTCATCTCACACACTGCGCACCCGTGGGACCTGTGTCCCGATCGCGCTGCTTCGCCAGAGCTGTGGATGGGAAATAGCTTGAGATGGATTTCCACATGTTACAGCCCATCCCATAACCGTGTTCCCCGCCCTACAAAGGCTCACCCTCTCCGTAGCTCAAGGGCTAGATTCTGAAGCATTCAAGACTCAGGAGGCGAAAGGTGTAGTGGCCCCTCTTCCTCCAAACTAGCTGACCATTCGCATCCATTCAAACTGCCCTCAGTTTCCCCATTAGCTTACCTAGTTCCGAAACTGGTTGTACATGGCATCATCTGGCAGACATCTGTTCCTTCTCTCTCTATTACAAAATTTTACTGAGTCGGACCATCTGCTCTACGCCATAAAGTTTTCCAGAGCTCCCCTAGGGAGTTGTGAGGGCATCTAAGATGGAGCCCTTTCCAACCCTGGTGGACGCAAAGGCCAGACAATAGAGGACTTGTAGGTCAAAGAAAGGATGTTAGATCAAAACCTGGAATTGGCTGCAAGCTCTAGGAAAGAGTGTTAAGCTTCTCCCTCTCCTTAAAATTTTTTTATACTTAAAGTATAGTTGATATACAATATTAGCTTCAGGTGTACAACAGTGATTTGACAAATAATACTTTATGAAATGATTACCAGGGTAAGTGTAGTTAAAATCTGTCACCATACAAAGTTATTACAGTGTTAATAACTATTTCCTATGCTGTACTTTTCACCCCATGACTTATTTGTAATTGGAAATTTGTACTTTATTGTCGCCACCTATTTTGCCAATGCCCCACCCTCTTACCCCTGTGGCAACCACTAGTTTGTTCTCCATACAGGAGCTTTACCCTAGCTTCAGCTTTCCGTTTCTGTGGGAGATCGTTAAGGGAGGTGGGTGTATGGTTCTCCTTGCCTTCTCTTTCTGCGACCCCAGGCCTTCTTTTCCCATGGCCCGATTCCCCCACTTCTACTCCTGCCTACCCAAGTATCATCTTTACTCTTATTTTCTGAAAGGGAAAACCACTTTATTACTTAAAAAATAAATACGAAGCAATATCCGAAAATAACGTGAATATTTAAGGTGAACCATGACTTTGAAGATACTGAAATTTGTCCTACTGTGGCTCAGAACTGAGGCACTAGGCTTCCCGGCCTTAGGGGAGCCTGGGCAGGTATGGCACAGAGGCTGGCTCTGGGCCTTCGACTGGAACTTGCTTATGAGCTCTTCACTTTGGGTGTGAGAGGCACGAACATCTCTAGCCTACCCACCCTCTCTATCCCCCAAGTGAAGCTTGAGTCGGTGTACGACCAGTGGCGACCACTCGCAGGGCTGTAGGATGGAACAAGAGCTGGGAGGAGCCAAGGAGGGAAAGAATTAGTTGATTAAAATGGGCCACAGGCACATTAATAAACTGAATAACCCTTTTTAACCAACCTGAGATGTTTCCTTCCTTCTCCCTGCCCCCCATCCCTTCCTTCCTTCCTTTCGTTTAGTTAAGATCCTACAGTCTGATGAGCCCCTTTTTTGGTGGGATACAAAAATGAACGAGACGAAACAGGAGTCCTGCCCTCATAGAGCTTACGTTCTGGGAAATTGACCTTAAACAATGTAACAATGTCAGGGAGGGAGTTTGTAAAACCAATGTGATGGATAAGAGTGAAGAGTGAGTAGGAGGGGAGGCTGGTGTAGAAAGAGTGGCCGGAGAACCTGAGTGTGGAGAACAGCTGAGCCGCCGTCTGTCCCGTGCGAACACTGCGGCGGGAATGAGCGTGGCAGGTTCGGAGGACCCAAAGGCGGGCTGGAGCGGGAACCTACGAGATCAGGGAAACGGGCAAAGGCCAGACAACGCAGGGCCTTGTAGGTCAGAGAAACGACGTTGGATTAAAACGTTAGGAAGCCATTAGCCGTCTTGGGAGAGGCTGCCTCGGGTGGGAGACGCTAGGGCTGGAACCGAGCCTGAGGTGCGCGCTGGGTACGCGCCTTCTCTGAGCCTTCTGCGTCAGGTGCCGGTGCCTGGGGACGCGCGAAGGGCGAGGCGTGCCTTCACGTCCCCGCGCCTGGCACCGCGTGCGCCAAGCTCTCGGCGCTCGTTCTGTCGCGCGTTCCCTCCCACTGCCCTGGCCCCGGCGGGCGGGGCCGGAGCGGCCGGCGAGACCGGAGCAGCCCCGGGCAGCGGAGCGCGTGCTATCGGGAGGCTCGAGAGTGGCTGCGGGTTCCGGTCTCGAGGGCCAGACCCTGTGCTGGGGTTTGTGGACCTCGAGAGGAGGTGCACACGCAGGGGAAGCCATCCGGAAACCCTGCCTGAATACGCGGTGAGGGACTGCAACACAGGAGGGACGGATGGGTGGCACATCTTTGATTTCCAGTGTCTAATGTTTTTTTTTTCCGTTTGCCGCCCGCAGACAGCCCCGACGTATAGAATCGCTGAGACGCTTTACGACATTTCGATCTTCAATCATAGAAGACAAAAATTACCCCACCCCACCTAATCTTTCCCTGCTTAGTTCCAAAATATCTTAGTTTATGAAATAGCGCTTTTTTAAATCTTGGAGAACTTCTCCGCATATATCCCTGCGCCTTTCCCTAAATTTCCATTTGTATTTCCATTTATATATTCTTATAAAAGTAAAAAGCAGCAACCCCACTGTGCCCGCCTTTTCATTGGGTTGGAGTTTTCAGCAGCACCCAGTACTCAGACCCCGCGCACATCTACGCGGGCACTTCCTCTTCCGAGCCTCGCAGCCCCGGGCCGCTGGTATTATCACAGCCGTTTGGTGAACTGGGAAAACGAAGCGTAAGTAGGTTATGTGGACTCTCTTCTGTCAAACAAAGCCAAGGTTTAAAAAAAAATCTTTTAAAACAAATAGTGTTCTTCCGTTAATTCATTTATTCAATCAACATTTATTGAACACCTGTTACGGCACCGTGCCAGGGGCGTAGTGGAGGGAGACAGCTATCGACCAATAAACACACAGCCACAGACTAGAATTTTTAACGCCAATGTCATTGACTCCAAGATAGCATTCTTTCCGAGACTGCTCGCGGCTGTTTCATGTGTCTCTTGGAAAGAAAAACGCTGCAGTAAAAATACACAGCATGGACTGTAAGACACATCCGGATTTCAGACGATAAAAATGTCAAAAGTCAGGTCTCAGGATCTGTAAAATGGGGTCAAAAGTGATAAATGGAAACTCCAAGGAGACCTTACTTTGACACTCGGCCACGTTAGGCCTTCCCTTACTTGCCTAGACCTAGAATCCAATCCCGCCGCAAGGTTTTGGGTGTTTTGCCCAAAGTGCCACAGCTGCCAGAAGAATGTGGTCCTGAGCCGCCCTGTCGGCTCTGCAGCGCCCTGGAAGCCTGACGGAGCTGGTCGCCCAGGTGGCCTCACGCTCTGGGATCCATCAGCCGCAGCTCCAGCGGGCCTTCGTTGTCTGGCTTTTTTCAGTTAGCATAATGTTTTAGAGGTGCACCCACGTTGTAGCATGTCAGTACTTCATTCCGTTTTATGTCTGAATAATAGCACTATTCACTGTAACCAAAAGATGGAAATAACAAAAATATCCTCGACTAGATAAAGGTATAAGCAAGCAATGGAATGTTAGCCTCAAAAAGTTAAACTTACCTGTGATCTGTTTTTTGGTGTATATACCTAGGAGTGGAATTGCTGGGTCATATAATAATTCTATGTTTAACTTTCTGAAGAACTGCCAAACTGTTTTCCACAACAGCTGCACAATCAAATATGTACAAGGATTCAAATATATCCGAAAATACTCGTTATTTTCTGGGTTTTTTAGAAGCCATTCTAGTGGGTATAAAGTGGTATCTAATTGTAGGTTTTATTTGCATTTCCTTACTGACCACAGATGTTGAGCATCTTTTCACGTGTTTATTGGTCATGTGTGTATTTTCTTAGGAGAAATGGCTATTGAAGTCCTTTGTCTATTTTTTAATTGGGTTGTTTGTCTTTTTATTGTTAAGTTATAAGACTTATTTGTTTATAATGGACTCTTATCAGATATATGGTTTGTAGTATTTTCTTCCTGTGTGCTATCAATTCACCTTTTTGATAGTGTCCTTTAGTGCACAAAATATTTTAACCTTGATGAGTCTAAATCAATCTTTTTTTTTTGTTGCTTGTGCCTTTGGTGTCATATCTAAGAATCCATGGCTGAATCTACGATCATAAAGATTTACTTCTACATGCTCTTCTGTGACTTTTATAGTTGTACATCTTGCAGTTAGTTCTTGATCCATTTTGAGGTTTTGTTTTGGGTTTTTTTTGCATGTCATGTAATCCATTTTTTTTTTTTTGTATGTGGCTATCCGATTGTCCTAGAATCATTTGTTAAAAACACTGTTTTTTGTCAGTTGAATGGTATGAGATTCTTGTCAAAATCAATTGGTCCTAGATATATTGGTTTATTTCTGGACTCTCAATTTTATCCGACTGAGATATAAGTCAATCTTTATGTCAATTATACACTGTTGATAACTACAGCTTTGTAGTATGTTTTGAAAATGGAAAGTGTGAGCACTCCAATTTTGTTCTCTTCCCAAATTATTTTTTATCTGATTCAAGCTTGTATCTGGGGATCTTTGCAATCCCAAATAAATTTTAGGATCAGACTTTCCATTTCTACCAAAAAAAAAAAAAAAAAGCCCCTTGGGACTTTCATAGGGACTGCATTGCACAAGTACTTAGCTTTTGGTACTAATGCGATTTGCCAATATTAAGTCTTCCAGGCTGTGGACACAAGAGATGTCTTTCCATTCATTTAGGTCTTCTTAAATTCCAGCAATGTTTTGTAGTTTACAGTATAGAAGTATTGCACCTACTTGGTTAAATTAATTCCTAAGTATTTTACTCTTTTGGATGCCATTGAAACTGTTTTCTTAATTTTCTTTTTGGATTGTTCATTGCTGATGTATAGAAATACAACTGATTTTCATGTGTTGATCTTTTACCCTGCACTTCACTGAATTTATTTTTTAGCTGTAATGGTTTTCATGGATTCTTTAGGATTTCTATTTGTAAGATCATATTGTCTGCAAAGAAGGCTAGTTTTACTTGTTTCTTTCAAATCTGGATGCCTCTTATTTCTTTTTTCTTGCACAATTTATCAGGTTAGAACTTTCAGGACAATATTGCTTGTACAATTTTTAAATAGAAGAAGCAAAAACAGGCATTCTTTTCTTGTTCCTGATCCCAGTGGAAAAATCTTTCACTCTTTCACCATTGAATATAATGTTAGCTGTAGTTTTTTCATAAAAGCTGTTTATCAGATTGAGGAAGTTCTCTTTATTCCTTGTTTGTTGAATTTTTTTAATCATGAAGGTGTTGGGTTTTGTCATGTTCTTTTTCTGCATCAAGATAACCAATTAAAATGGTATATTATGTTGGTTGATTTTCCTGTGTTGAACCCCTTGCCTTCCTGAGATAAATCTCACTTGGTCACGGGTGTAATTCTTTAACATTCTGCTGGATTCAGTTTGCAAGGATTTTGTTGAGGATTTTTTTGCATCTGTAATCATAGAGGATATTTGTAGTTTCCTTTTCTTGTGATGACTTTGTCTGGTTTTGGTATCAGGGTAATGAGTGTTAGAAAGTTTCACTACTCTCCTATTTCTTAGAAGAATTTGAGAGCCAATTGTTCTTTAAAGGTTTGGTACAATTCACTGGTGAAGCCATCTGTTTCCTTGGCTTTTCTTTGTCAGGAGGTTTTTGACTACGGATTCAATCTCCTTGCTTGTTTTATCTGTTCAGATTTTCTATATTTATCTTGAGTCAATTTTGTATGTTTCCAGGAATTCCCTTTCATTTAGTTCACCTCATTTGTTATCATACATCATTCATAGTTTTCTCTTATAATCCTATTTATTCCCTTAAGGGCACTGGTAACACCCCCATTTTGCTGTGTGTAAATCATATATCTCTTGAGTACCCCCTTGGTTGACTATTTTTCAGAGTTCCCACAGCATCAATTCTGACACTTACCTTTTCCGTGTTTCTGTATAGGGATGGGCCCTTGGAGCTTCCTATTCTGCCATTTTCACTTATGTCAATTCTATTTTTTGTTTTGTTTTAGAGCATAATGGCCAAATTCCTCCTATGTGCCAAGTTCCTTCCTCCGTGCATCCCCCATGACCGGAACTCACTGCCCCAGGCCTGGTCTTCCCACTCTCTGGGGATCTGTCCTTCAGCATTTCTCTGAACCTCGCTAGCTCTGACAAGTCAGCTGTCTCCCTCCAAATGTTCTCTACTCCCTCCCTCTCCGCCCTGTAGGAGGTGAGTTCGCGCGCGCGCGCGCGCACACACACACACACACACACACACACACACACAAGCTCTAACAAGTCAGCGAGTACACACACACACACACAAGCTCTAACAAGTCAGCGAGTACACACACACACACACACACACACACACACACACAAAAAGCTCTAACAAGTCAGCTATTTCCCTCCAAATGTTCTCGTCTTCAGCCGGACTTGTGCGCGCACCTGAGCCCGCCGGGCAGCTTGTGGGAGTCGGAGGACGGGGACCCGTGAGTGAAGCGCAGGACCCCCCGAGAGCGGGCTGAGGAACTCCAGGCAGCTTTCTCTAACTTACAAAGAGGAAGGAAGGGCCGTGGGGGAGAGAGAGGAGGAAGGAAGGAAGGAAAAAAGGAAGAAAAGAGGGAGAGGAGAGGGAGGGGAGGGAGAGAAGAAGGGCAGGGCGGGAAGGGCAGGACAGGACAGGACTGGGAAGGGGCAAGAGAAAGGGAGAAAGCAAGAAGAGAGAGGGTGGAGGGAAGCCGCGGGACCTCAGCTCCTCTCGGAGGTGGGGGTTTCCCAAGATAACGGACGAAACTTCCGAGTCAACCAGCCGTGGAGGGAAAGAAAAAAAAGTCACCGCCCCGCCGGCAGCATTTTCAAACTTGGGTCGGACGGAGCGCCCTGGTGCTGCGGACTGGGGTTCCGCGGGCAGGGGCGGCGGCCCTGGACTCGGCAGTGTCCAGAGACAACGCAAACTGGCTGTGATCCAACCCGGGGCGAGTTCTACCCAGAAGCAGCCAGTGTTCCTCCCATTATAAGTCATTTAGTGAGATGACTGTTGTTGATGACTACTTAGGCGAGGAAATTGTTGTTACATATGAAAGTTGAAGGCAGCAACCCAGAAAGTAAATCTCAGGATCTATCTACCAACTTCTATGTCTCCAAGACTGATTAATTGCTTTATAATTTTAAAGCTATTTTAATATGTAAAAAGTTTTTATTAGTTGCCATACTTTCAAGCTTTAGGGTAGGAATAGAAATGCAAAATAGATTTGGCCTTAGAAATCAAGGAGCCTATTTTTACAGATGGGGAACTGATGGAATTAGTTTGCACAAAACCAAATAATAATCAGACGAACTAATTTTCCAAGGACTACTGAGAAGAGGCTGATGATAGGAAGGAAGAGAGAATGCGGAGTGTGTTTCTTTTCTCCAGGGAAAGTACCTCTCATAAGCAGTTTTCAGGAAAAAGCAGTGGTCCCTGAGAACAAAAGGCAGATGGTTCTGGAAGGTGCAATCAGTGACCAAGGGGCTGTGAGGGGATCAGTGAGCTCCAAAGTAGAGTTGTCTTTTATATGCAAGAGTAGAATTAATAAATTC